TCTTCTTCCACTGTGGCTCTGGTCATGTGGGGAAATGAAATTAAATGGAAATATACAAGCATATGGGCATTAAGCAATACACACAAACACTCCATATGCCTCTCTGCCTCGCTCACTCTCTCTGCCCCACTCGCTCGCGCTGTGCATGAAACAATGAACCGAGCTGCACAATACAAAACGAAAGACTTAGGCAACGAACTTGCCCCGGGCTTACCAGCCACAACAAAAAATAAAATAAGCGCACAAAATTCTTTTCGCCTTGCTTTGTTTTTTGTTGTTCTTGTTGTTGCTGCTGTTCTTAAGGTTTTTTTTTCTATTCTTGTGCTTGGCTTCGGGTCAGCAATTCAGTGACTGTGCTTTGTGAACTGTCACTGTGTAAACGTCACTTGATAAGCCTTTTTTGCAGCAACCCCATCTTAAATTGGCCAACTGTAAAACAATCCCAGCACCGAGCTTAGATGAATGCATAACAAAATATAAGCAATAAATCCATCAAATTAACTCAGTATTTGTAAATAAAATGTTGTAGAATTATTTAAAGGAAATTCTGTTAACTTATGTTAAAATAAATTGCATTTTATGGAATCGTTCTTAAAGAAGTGCTGTTAACAGTATGTTTATATAATAACATATAATAGAATCAATGTATAATAAACGCTGTAAACATTATATAAATGTTAATAACATTTGCTTAAATTAGTTTAAAAAGAATTCTGTTAACATATATATAACTATATATATGAAGTTTATTGAAATGCTGTTAATGTTATGTTTATAATAATAACATTTTATAGAAGTAATTTTCAAGAAATATTGTTAACATTATGTTTATATCAATACAATTTTATTGATTTGCATTTTCAAAGCTGTTAACATTATGTAAATATAAATAAAATTTGAATGAACTGATTGTAAGGAAATGTCAATATTATAGTTATATTAAGAAAAATTCAAATGTAAAAAAAATATTTTATAAAATTAATTTTTAAGAAATGTTAACAACATTTTGCTTATATAATTAACATTTCAGACAACTGATTTATGAAAAATGTATTTTTATATTCTTTCGAAGTCGAAGACATCGTCTAAAAGTTGACTACGTTAAACGAGCTGCGGATATGGCCGACTATTTAAAGATATATTAAATATCTTCTAGCCCCAACAATTCTGGCTGTTTATTATTATTTTATTATACAAATATTTTTTGCCTACTCTGTGCCATGTGAAACTCGTACAAAAAGAGAACTCAAGCAAGCATAGAAAAGCTCAAATACTTTATGGGAACAAAATCTATGCCCAGCTCAATTGTATGCTCTATAAGAAAGAAAAAACCAAAGGTATTGAAATACAAATCGAGCGGCCAGTCTGCCTTCGATGCCAGCCGTTTTATCAGTTGACAAACAAAATATTCGAAAAGTGCAGCGTGGCTGCGTTTCGTGAATTCTCTCACAAGTTTTCAAATTACCAAACAAATTTCTGTTGGCAAATATTTATGCAGATAATGTGGCCCAGGCGGATGACTCATCGGCAACATGATGAACACCAGGCACATCATCATCACGCAGTATGAGTTCTTTTTGTTGTTTCTCTTCTTTTTCTTCCCCCATTTTTTTTTTATTCATTTTTTTTTTTTTGGGTGATTGTTGATCGCTCGCACTTCAAAGCGAAATTTTCAATATGCCGCATTTGCTTTGGCCAAGTCAATTTTTTGCTGCTTCTTCAACGTTTTTATAGTTTATTTTTCATTTTCGGTGGGAGCTGCTCATTAACATGTCATAAACCGCAAGCGAAGTAAAAAGAAAAAGGTTGGACACACAATAAAAAATTGTTGGAATAATAGTAGAAACAATTGATGGCTAGAGCGCAGCGTTTTTTTTTATTTTTTTTTTTTTATCAATTGAACAACAGTTAGCAGCCGCAAGTTTTATTGTTTATAAATCAAATTCATTGTTGTTCTGTGCTCAAGTGCATAATTGTTGGAGGCGAGGAGGCGGCAGGCAGCGCAGTGGGCGATGCATGCGTCCCAAAATGGACCCAAAACATGACATTTGACATGGTATACATATAGATGTAGATATATATAGAAATCCGACTTGTTTGCTGAAGCAGGCGGAGAGCCAATCAAAGCGTATCGCTGACATAAACGTCTGTGCGATCTGCAAACGTCACGTCGTGTCCTGCACAGGCCATCAATTCGGGCAATCAAGTCAATTAAACAAACAACCTAACCGCGCACAGAGCACAGAGCACAGAGTACGGAGCACAGCGTCTGGCTCAGCTACTAGGAGGCCAGATTGGTCTGTTCAAGCTCTGATCGTATCGAGCTGATCGGTAAACGGCAAAACTTAAACACAGTTTGGCACAAAAGCTCGTGAAATTTTTGCAAATTTGCAAAATAATCATTGAGAGCTCTCTGTGCACCAATTCGAAATCAAGACAAAATGTGGTAAATGTGTGCCACAGTGCAGCCAGACGAGGATTGGCCAACAAAAAAAAATTTATAAATAGTAGACAATTGGTGGCAGATGCTAAAGATCAAATACCCTATAGTCTAGATATTCACTATGGTTATATTTAAATATAGCAAAAAACTGTTAAGATATCTTAACAAAATAAAGAAAAAAATATAAGAAATTATTGCCATAAGGCAGTTGATAGTCAGCGTACATGATTTAGTGGCAGATATAAGTAGATATTATGCATGACAGATTGTGAACAATTCTAATAATGTGATTTGATCTGAACTACAATTTGATATGGGCTGCCTGCAGGAAATGGGAGTACAATATAACTAGGAAATATATATCCATGTATGATTTATTAATAACAGATATAGTGAACTAATATTAATACCCAATGCAAGGGTATTAGTGCATAAATATGTAATAGCTCAAGCCTTAGCTGGCTGGCTAAGCTACAGTTACTGTTTCCGACTCAATGGCTGACAAAGTTCAAGCGATGTTATCGCACATTGAGACAGGGAAAGAGCATGCGCCCGAGAGAGCGAGCGAGAGATAGAGAGAGAAAGAGAGCGAGCAGCAGATCACTTACATATGTTAAGACTGCAATGGAGCAGTTTCTAGTGGCCCGATCGTGCCGTTGATGATCAGAGACAGCCACAAAGTCTGCGACAGGGGGGCAGCCAGCGTGCGCACAAGAGACCAAGAGACCAAGAAACGAATAAGCCAAGAGACGAAGCAAATGTACTGCCACATGGCTTGATCATCAGCAACGATCGTTTCAGTCCGAGTCCAGAGAAAATGTCGTAAAACCAACGTCAACGGCAACAAAAAAAAAAAAAAAAAACAAAACGCGGTCGCATTTTTAGGCTAAAAGCTAAAGCGCTTTTATGTAATTGCCAGCTAAAGATAGTGATAGCAAAATATTTGGCCACAAAGAGATACGACTAGTAGAAGAGGACGAAGACGAAGCAGCTAAGCGGCTACCGTTGACTGCAAGCTGTGGAGATCACTCACGATCGCTCAACAGGGACTTTTGTTAAGAAAGAGAGCACATTGTGTTAATGAAAAGCCCAGTTAGAGTCAATAAAGATCAGCGCTTGATCAGATCAGCTTTAGAATATGTCAAAAGGCAGAGAACAGGTTAAACAGACTTACTTAAACGACAGCTTGATTGTGCCTTAGCTCAGTTTAATTACTGATCAAGGCGCAAAAGTGTACAAGATCACACGCGATCAGCTTTAAAATGATTTCAAATAATGGCATAAATAAGTAAATGTGGGCTAATTAATGAATTTAATGGCAATAAACTGTAAAGCAGCAGCCAATGAAGATCAGTCGTAACGCTTTGATCTGTCAGAGATGAGCTTGAAATGCTGAAATAGCTTTCGATGGGCTAACAAATACTACATGAGCTTCATTTAAAGTGCTCAACGAAAGCGCCCTCAATCGTGCTGTAGATCATGCAAAGATCACTGAAAGCTGATCATGCCAGTCGCAAGTCGCTCGAGAAAGGGAGGGAGACAGAGTGAGGGCTGGCTGCTTGGCAATGCAATCGATGTTCAAACACTGGCGAGCACAATGCACGCCCAGGGTTTGGTTTTTTATTTCTTCTTTTGTTTTAATTATGCCATGTTCGCAGACTCGTAAAATTTTGACAGAGTCTGTCAAAATTGAAAACAAGTACGCGCCGCGTAAAGCGCGTCGCAACCATATCATAACTCAGCTCAAGTTATGCGTTGCGTACGTGCCACATTTGTTTGAGCCGCATTCGCATGTGATTTATTACAAAAGCCGACCGACAAAAATGACAACAAAAAACAAAAAAAAACACAAAAGTAGAAAAGAAAAGAAAACCAAATGCATTGCCACAAAATAGAGGCACAACAAAATGTTGCAAGCACTTGTAGTGAAAAAAAAAGGAGCCTGATAATTTAAACATAATCGGCAAAACCGGGCAGAGGCACGAAGTTGAGTCGCGCCTCGTCTCCGGCTCCTGAGTCTCTTGTGCGGGCGGTGCGCTTTTGTCTGCCATAAAGGAAATTGAATTTCAGCTCAGTTTCAATCCTTTCGGTTGTCGTTTTTTTTCTTTTTTTTTTTATTACTCTCATTGTCTAGACGTATTTCAGGCGAATTCTTCATTCGTTTGGCTTGCTTTGTTTAGCGGGCCAAGAAATGTCAATGCGCATTGATGCCAGAGCCTCAATTTCAATTTGTGTTTTTTTTTTTCGCGTGTGTCCTTGGAATGACCGCAATTGATTGACATATGCAAATTGTTGCTGTCAAGCAGCCCAAAACTTATGCTAATAACTGAGCAAATCAATTCAAGTTCATGGCCAATATATTTGACAGCCCAGACCTGCCCTGGCCCGCCTTGCCCCTTTGCCAAGCTGCTGTTGCCGCATAAATTAGCATTAATTGACGCGCCTCTCGGAGACAGAAACGCTGTAAACTAGTCCTAATTAATGAACACTTCCTTCCGCTGGCTTTCTATATTTGCATATATATATACATATGTGTGTTTAGCTGGGATTTACTTACGCGCAGTAGGATTTGCCATTCGCTTGTGTGATGCATGTGCCGCCATTTTTGCAGCCCAATGTGGTGCAGGAAATGGCCAGAGAGGTGCCGGTTTCTGTGAATATGAAACAAAAATTGATTAGAATACGATTTATAATATATTACAGTATTTAAATTATTACAGTACTTTCCAATAAAGTTATATATCGCTCCAAATATATATACATATATCGTTTCCAATTTTTAATCAACAATTATAGTATTTGTAATTTGGATTAACATATCAATTTAGAATTAAATAAATAAATAAGAAAATAGATCTAAAAATATGTTTTCAACTAATTTATGAATATCAACAACTATGATTGTTATTCAATAATTATTTAAATGCCTTAAAATTCTCATTTATGTTTATATTTTATAATTAAAATTTACACATATCTTTATGTTAAAAATGTTAGATAAACTGGCTCGACAGACGCCCTTCGAAAGGCCCTGAGAAGTTCGACAAAATCAACATTATATATTCAAAATATACAATCGAAAATCTCACAAATATTAATTGTACATTTTTGTATATTTATTAAAAATATTTCAATAGATATCAACAAATGTACATATTTATTGTATAGACATTAGCATGCAATTCTGGCATGTCTAGAGTGTTTGGCCCAAAAGGCAAGAGTTTCGTATTTCCCTGCTCTATGCGCTCATCGAGTTGTTGTTGTTGGGGCTAGGCCCATGGCATAGCCGGCATGTCAAAGCCGACGCATAGCGTTGACAACAACGTACAGCAAATCGCAAGAAGAAGAAGAAGAAGAGCACAAACGAACAACAACAACAACAAATAAATAAGGTTCAGTGCACTTCAACTGGCCAACAGCGAGAAGGGGAGCTTCGTAAAGTAAAAAGCTTGTGCAATTTGCTGCTGGCAGCAAAGAAGAAGACACGACAAAACCGACAATATGCTTATATGTACGTATTTCATTGAAAAAAGTTGACACACAAATTAAACAAACGTGCCGCGCGCCAAATCGCCCCAATGTTTGCTAATTGGGCGTGTGGCGATTTCCTGCCACGACAGCGGCACAGCCAGCGAGCAGTTACTCTAGAGTGGGGCACGGCGGGGTGAGTGGGGGGTGAGTCGGGCTGGCAGCAGACAACAGGCGACAATAAGTTTTGATTGCCCAGCACAATAAATAAATAGCTTTGTCTTCGCAACGAGCGCAAAAAAAATTTAAAAAAAAAACACTAACGACAAAAAGGCAGCAAAAGAAATATATCATAAACTTTGGCAGCACTTGACGCCCCCCTCCCTCCGCTTCCAACCCCTATACATACATATACATACATGTACATATATATATATATGTGTGTATATATATATATATGGATATGCATGTGCTAGCTAACCATTTTTTGTTTCACTGTGCGCCGCCGCTTGGCATTCGAAATGCAACACGAAATTGTCGCGAATACGTAAACATAAATTTCGCATTTGAATGATCGATGGGCCAGACAGACACACACAAAAAATAAAAAGAAGAAGAAGGAAAAAAAGGCAAATAAGCCCGGTATAAATCTTGGCCCAGCGAAATTTCAAGCCTGAGTCATACGCGGCGTATGCATTATATTGCGAAATTATTTTATTTTATGCGAACACAGCAGCAGCGGGAGCAGCAACATGTTGCCGCACCGACACGCAGCAACATGTTGCTATACATTGTTGATTGTCTTAATTTTTTGCAACATTATGTAGCCAGCTGCGCATTGCCTGTCTGCACATCTGTGAGTCTGTGTGTGTGTGTGTGTGTGTGTGTGTGTATAAACTAATTGACCTCAATTAGTACAGCATAAAAAAATATAAAAAAAAAACAGAAAAAATATAAAAAGACCAGCAAAATGTTTCATTCGCATTGTTAAGGTGCGGTTCTTGGGAGCAAAAAGAACAAATACGCCGAAGATTATTTGCATTATTATCTTGAAAGCCTGATCAAGTAATATTTCATTTTAAATGCGCGGTTTTGGCTGAGCTTTTATCAAAAAACATATGACACGAGGCAACAAAAGGACCAAAACACAAGCTTTTTGCTTGAGATTTTGCAATAAATCAACACAGCTCAGTTCAGAAGCTTTCAAAGGCATTCAAAGGATTAATTGTGTAGAACAACTCGAGCTTGAGCAACAGCTTCTACAATAAATAACAAAAGCTTTAGTTCAGAAGCTTTTACATGACTAATTGCTCCTTTCAGAAGTTTTTAAATGATTGTATGTATGGAAATAATCAAGCTTAATTCTTCTGTTTCTACAACAAATAAACAAAGCTCTGATCATAAACTTTCAATAGCATTAAAGGGCTATGAAAAAATCAAGTTTTAAGCTCGATTTCCTATAATAAATAAACAAGGCTTGTTCCAAACTTTCATCAAAAGCATGAATAAGCTTAATTGTATTTTTTTTGTACAAATTAAAAAACCAAAAATCTGTATTGCATCCTTTTCTAACACTAAACTAATCAACTACTTAAGCAACTAGTTTTAATTTATTCACTAGCTACTGTGAACTAATTTGTGACTGCTGCTCCGGCACGCTCCGCCCCCTTCTTCAACGAGCGGCCGTGAGTCACTTGGCCAGCTGCAGCTGAAAAAAAAAACTGTCAACTTCTCCGCATGTTTTTTTTTTTTGCTATTTCTATTTTGTGTTTCTTTTTTTTTTTAGTCTCGGGTAAGCTTTGTAATCTGTTTGGTTTGCCGCTGTGGGCGTGGCCAGTTTGGCTTTAATGAATTAACAGGCCACGCTGGGCCATTCAACGCTTCATCGACAGAGCGTGAAACGCTTTTATTTATATTTTTTTTTTTGTTTTGATTTTTATAATGTACCTTTTTTTTTTATTGCGTGTGATTTACCGCACAATGAAAAGCGCTATACAAATCTGTTGGCGCACTTGTTTGGGCCTTTTGCACGGGCGTTTAGTCGGACGCTTGGCGATGCAAGCAAGTGTAACGTGTTGCCAGCCCACTTACACTAGTCAGAGACCCCTCCACCCCACTCCGCCCTCGCACTCAGGTGCTCTGACGTGTTGTTTAGACAAATGAGCGGTTAATTGCTCGTGTTGCTGCAGCTGCACATAACTAGGTGTAAGTTGTAGCATAATTTAATGAATGCCAATAATATTATACTTGAGCTCACGCAGAAGTCGCATCCTGTTGATCAATCTTTGCTCTTTAAATAATCGTACTTTGATTCAATATCTATTCATAAGTTAATCACAGGCCTAATCCACTTGACTAACCTAATTGCTCTTTTGCCAACTAGATCTCTAATCTCTCTCTCTCTCTCAAATGTTTTTCCACCAATTAAGCCTGGCATGGCTCCGGCTTCTCTGTATACGTATTACAGGGTATTCTTTCTTTAAGTCGAAAACTAGGATCTTGTGTGGAGCATTTTTGTTTTATCAAAATATCTTGACCACACACAGAATTTGAAAACTTCATGCAAAATTCTTTTAGACGGTCATAAATATTGGCAAAATATCAAACTCAACAATCATGAGCTTCATTATTTTCACGTCTCTCACATATCAAAAGGCAAATGTCTACAAGGATATTATATCTTGATTTTCTTAATTATTAATAAACATTTGTAATATTGTCTTTCAGTTTGTGGGCCAGTTAGTGCGCCGAAACGTCAGCTCCGTGTTTTGTCAGCTGTGTGATAAACTGTCGCCCATGTGGCGTTGCGAAGGAGGCGGGGTTAGTGTGTGTGTGTGTGTGTGTGTGTGTGTGTGTGTGTGTGTGTGTGTGTGTGTGTGTGTATGTGTGTGCGTGTGTATGGCAGGGGTTGCAAACAAATGTCAGTGGCCGTTATAAATGGCGCTTATCGAATTGAAATTTTTCGCCGCTGCCACACACACACACACACACACACACGCAGGCAGGCGCACACACACACACTAAGCAAATAACAAACAAAAGCCACCCAAAAACGCTATCAGCATAATAAGCAACAGCAGCAACAGCAACATCAACAATAACAACAAAAGCAGCAACAACAGCGGCGAAACTAAAACTAAAACAAAGACAAAAAACCAAAAAGAAAAAAAACACAGCAACAACTTCGACAGCGACAAGTAAAATAGCAACAACAACAAGAAGAAGAAACAAAAAACACATAAAAGCTACAACAACAAAAACAAAACCACGGCCAAAAATTTCTCACGCTTTTCTCCAGCGTGCAAAGGCGCGCACTATAAATACATATAAACAATTTTTTATGTGTGTATACACACAAGCATATAGATATGTTTAACATATTATATATATCAAATATATATACTATATATATATAAATAAAACTATCAACAAACCGCAGAGCGCAGTTATAAAGCAAAACGGCATATATCATAAAATAAAATAACAATTTATTTAACAACAAAATGATAATAAACTGTTAAATTGAGCCCCCGCTCGGCTCCCTTCCAAAAAAACCGCATTACCCACACAACATGCGCTGGGTGGAAGGGATGGGGCGGTCGGGGCGTTATAAAACGGTATTGCCTTAATTGTACAGTTACACATAGCAAATGATCTTTCAGTCCAATCAAACGCATATAACCTTCACATATTCAAAAATTGCACGACCAGGGGATACCCCGAACCTTCTTCTACCCACACCAAATGCAGCTTTGGGTAGGGAGAGGGTGGAGGGGTGGAAATAAAAGATACTAGACTTGTATAAACTATTCCAGTCAACTTCGTTGACTCTAGACTTGAAGACCTAAGAGATTTGCTCAAAAGCAGGATTTCGATATCGATTGTTGACCGATTACTTGGAAACGGGGCAAGGTTTCGATTAACGGAGGATCTACGGAAAGACGGCCGGACAGGGTAGGGTAGGGAGATGCTTCCTTCTGCCTGTTACATACATTTGCCCACAACCAATATACCCCTTTTAGCCCCATTCATATAGAGAGTACTGGAAATTAGAAACGCCTTCGAAAGCAAAGTGTGCCAATTAGCAAGCGGGCACTGTACTTTATGAATGCGAGCGTGAAAGCGTAGTTATTCGAGTCACAGTAAGGTTTTTATTTTTTTAATTAGATTATGTTTCTTATCA